AGAATGACCTTTTGATCCTGCTGGCTCTGCCAGCTTCAGATGCTCTGAAAAAATGACCACAAGGTGCTGGAGCCCTGTTTGAGGATGTGTGTCCTATTTTGTCATTGGAATAACCCCAAATGTCTGAATGTCCTCATTTTAAACGGTCTGAACTGGTTGGTAGGACTGCTGAATCCCGCAGGTGCGATGGATTGAGAGTTGGGGTGAAGTAGCTGGCACAGAAGTTGTCCTCGGTCTGTGGTGTGGACCAGCTGAACACGTTGCCAAACTCTTTGCCACTGCACGCTGCATTTTGAGCTGCTAAACTACTTTGTGAAGCTATGATGAAAGCTGAATAACTGGTTAGGGATAAAGCATGAATAACTGTAACTGATAGTTGTCCTTGTCTCAGCTGGCTCTACTGATGTTCATTTCTGTATGAGTGTTCCACAGTGCAAGTGCTGTACAACTCCTAGTTTGAAACTGTTTGCACTTTGTTAATAAAATGAATGTTGAAAGTTGATGTGAAGTTTTAGATGCTTGTGTGTAAATAAGTAAGTAAAATGGTAGAGAAGGGCTGTCAGGGTAAGTAGCACACTGCTACTATGCTGGACTTGCTCTTTAGTAATGCCTGACTGCTTATAGAAGAACTTTTTTCCCCCGAATTATTCAATGAAAAGTGCTTAAATCCACGTGGGATTTTTAAAGCTGCATTAATAGAAGCCAGACCGCATGTTTAACTCTCCCCTCTTCAAGTAGCAATGGAGGAAGATCCACAGTTTGTACCCAGCCTTGGTTGTGGGTGTCTTGTCCCAAGGGAGGAGGTGCAGCACTGAGCCGCTGCTGGGTGCGGTGGGGGCCTGGGCCCAGCTGCAGGCTGCGATAGTGTGGTGTGTTTACTCTTGTACAGGGCTGCGTGTTGATTATTGTGCACAGCTCAATTAGCAGTAATGACAGAGCTCTGCCTCTTCAACACTCACAGATGCTTTACTCTAAGAGGCCCAAGCTGAAGGAAATTATTTTGATGAGCCACATGATCTGTTCTGGAGTTCATGTCCAACCTTTGGAGGGACAAGAAAGGAGCTGGTACCACCATGCTTTGCTCACCTTAGCAAGAACAAACTTGCAGCTGTTTTTTAAACAGGATGGGGGCAAAGAGGCTTGGGAGACTTATTTAATGAACTTACACTGTGCCTTCCCTTTCTGGCTGCGGGGCTCTGCTGGGCCCTGGGTAACTGCACCCTATTGGACAGGCCGGCGTTGCTTTCCATTACACATCACACAAAGGAAATCTGCTTTCACCACAGTAAAGACACTTAATTCAAAGGTTGATTGCTGTCTTTGTTAGCTCTTAAATAAACAGACTATCATCTGAAGTGTGGTTTAAATTACTGTTTTATTAAGATATTGGTAAAACTTCAACAGTTTTTCCTGTATAAACAGCTTTCATAAATAAAATATGGATGACTAATACATGGTTATAACTAAACTCATATGTGAACTGCAGAAGAAGATTGCAAATGGAAAGTCCCAACACTGTTAAATGGTTAGCTTTAATTTATTCACTTCATAAAGAACATGTTAATTTGATGAACAAGATAATACAGAAAGGTCAACAGGAGCACCCAGTGTAGCAACTGCCACCAGGCCGGGCTACTGACACAAGTACTGGGGGTGATCTCAGCCAACTTCCCCGGTTCTTGTTCCAAGATGTCTTCGAGAGCGAAGGAGAGAATAAACCTGACAAAATGCAGTTGTGACATACAATAGTTGTACTAGGCCCTAAGAGGTGGGATTTATTTTTTCTTTAGCTTTAATGCTGGCAAGTATAGTGTGATCGCCTGATTTGCAAGGACAGGAAAAGGATATGAACATTTAAGTCAGAGGTTGTCTTAATGCTTCATTATTACTTATTGCACATGATACTAGGGTAGAGAGTTTTGTTCCTGTTGCAAAGAGGAGATGAATTAAAAGAAAGATTGCCCTAAATTACAGGCATGAACAAAGCTGCGGTATCCCCTTCGATGGCTTTGTTTATGTGACTAGTGCCGAGTGAATACATTGTGCTAAAACAGCCCCTAATTTAGACCAATCTTTCTCATTTTTTCTTCCCCGCAGAACACTGCCAGGGGTGGGAGGATTTAGTGAGGAGTTTAGTGAGTGGAGCTGAACTACAGTAGCCTGTCTATAAACACAGAACTTGTTATGCCTCATCTTATCTGCCCATAGGACAACGCATTTCTCACTGACACACAGTGTTCCAAAAACAGAGCAGAGTTTCTATGACGATGTACCACTATAAATGTGGCATAAGTTAAAGTCTGCTTTGACATTGTCCTTCAGTGGTACAATGCAATCTAAATCAAATACTGAATGGTTTTAACTTGCAAGGACAATTGATGGCACTTCTAGGTAAAGAAAAGTTATATACATGCGTTTCCACCCACCTTTAGTGCAAATCAAAATGGGTTAACAGCTCCCTGGTCTGGTGCTATACTGCTCTCTGCAACGCAGACATTCCTCAGAGTTGCACATTTAAAAAGTGTACACAGGAAACTACCAGCGTGGGGATTGCATGAATCCCGCTAGTACTCACAGTGAAGAGCTTACGAGCAAGTTTTGAGCAGCTTCAGACAAACAGCCTGGAGCCCGTTTCTCAAAACCAAGACGATTTGAAAATTAAATTAAAAAAAAATGTTTTCACTACCTACCTCCTAGTTCTGCAAACACAGTTAACACGTCAACTGAAACCGATGCGGGTTGTGTTAACGCAGAAAAGGGATACTTCAGCTCTTTATTGGAAAGATTCGTTATACAAATTTCACCACCACTAAGATACACAATAAAAATACAAAACACAGGTCACAGACTGAATCTCAGTATCAACAGTTAATAAATACAATTAGATACTTTTATATTAGCCTAATATTTTTACATGGTCACCAGATAGACAATCAAAGTATGAGATATAGAACACTTAGATACCGTTAGAGAGGGGTTATTGCTTACGTTCGCAAGCAGCAAATAAGGGCACAGGATTTTGAACTGAAGAGAACTACTTCCTATCATCACCAGTGGCGTTAAGAGAAAACACTGCATTTCACGAAGCACTGCTTTTTTGTCTAGTGTGTAGAATCAAGAGCAGCATATATCAGACCAATAACCACTACTTTTAATATTATAGGACTTTAAAGGACTTACCTTACAAATGGTTCCTATCTACTCTATAAATACGCATTTAGTGAAGAAATGAGCACTTGCTATCTATACAATGTTTTTACCTGACCACACTGGAACTACAATGGTAGAATTTTTTCTCCTAGCAAGATAAATGGTATGAGTCGCAGAATTATCACTTATGAATCCTAATACACCTAAAAAGCTTGATGCTTCCCAAAACAGCACACATGCAGTCCAGTGCTCTTCGACCGCTCCTGCAGACTGGGAAGAAGTTTATCATCCACAAGTTTTTCATTCTCATTGACTCACACAAAGAATTGCACTTGCACCCCTTTCTCTCCGAAGCACGACAGTCAGCTATAAGATGGACTTTCAATGCGTCATTATTACTGTGCATCATTTAAAACAAAGGCACCGCAGAGATGCCCCAGAGTTGCATATTTTACTGTTCACGGTTTCTCAAATTTCCTCAGTAAATCTGACTTGGAACATATGCTGCAGCTAAAGAGAACACTGACAACAGCTAAGGCTTAGTAAGATGACAGATAAGAGCCAATGATCCCATAAGATTAAAAAAAAGTCTGAAAAAGATCAAAGGAACCTAAAGCCACACTCCCAACTCCTGGTTGCTCATAAAGCCTTTTGCTATTCATCGGATTGCTTTTAAAATAGTGCATCAAAGACAGAAGCGGCGGAAATTGGCAGAATTCAAACCTCGCCATCTTGTCCTGTTGAATAATCTCCTGACTACTTAATATTAAAATACTTTGCAAATTCTAGCTAAATACTAATACTGTTATTAAATTGTTACTGCTAAAATGATATGAATTGTACAATAAACGCCTATGAAGACTTAACTTTATTCATACTCCTCCAAATGTCTTACTGTAACAAAGAATAGTAACGGGATGTGTATTTAGTGGAGGTGATGGGAATCCTCTGCTTACTCACGTCCCAATTAACCGCTCCCCTCAGGGTTTAACATCACCTGGAGAGTAGGGAAGAGCTGGTGAGTACTGTTCGTTTCCCAGTTTGATAGGTAACGCTCTGCTTCAGGAAAGACGGGCCGCTGACGGTCCTCACGTTCCTTTCTGAACCCGGGTTTAAACGAAGCAGAGCTCTGGCTTGTCTAGTGAATTTTACCCTGGCCACTAAAGCCCAAGCGCAGCCCCCGCTCATCTGCATCCACGGCACTTCCGTTCGCTTTGGATTGCTCCGGCAGCCCGGCACCCATTCTTAAACATGCAGGAAAACGCCAAACTGCAGCAATACTGCTCCTTGTAGAGACAGCATCCTACCATCCGTCATGCTGCAACTTTATATTAAGTTATGCCTGTGCCACCTAGAAGTCATTACTGAAGCCAAACCGCTCATCAGATTGCTCATGATCTCTCGCAAGCAGTTCTCTGGTGCGACTGGTTGAGTGACAGTAGTGTTGTACTGAACATCTCCACAGATTGGTTTCTTTTAAGACCTGAGATGAAGTTACGGTGGAAAAAGGTTGGCTTAAAGCATTAAGCACAATTGTGTTCGATTAAAATTAATTGAGAACAGTTTCCTAAACTGACAAACAAGAAAAATGCCACTAAAAGCACCAGAAAGATATGAACTTCCCTATGCTGCACCTCTAGCCCTAGGAAATAATTTTTTTTAAAACTACAAAAAACAGTTTTCTTCACAATCCATGTTTTATGTTACATGCGAAAAATAGGTAAATGAGTCTGTACCTCAGTTAGAGTCTGAGAACAGAGTAGCAGGAGCTTAGTTTGTCCATTCCTAAGTGACCTGGTAAAACCCCATATGGCTTTTAGTCTTTTACCTGCAAAAGTGGATGTAATTTTCTAATTCATCTTAATGCTCGCCTGAAATAAACAGAAAGCAGAACAGAAAAAAACCCCACACACCTTGACTTCTACGGAAACTTCCCCCCAACTCTGAAAGACTCTTTTCTTTACATATTGCTCCACAGACGTACCTCAGGCAGGTTCAACTTTCTGTGTTGTTCCCTAACGGTGTCTATGCACACGAGCCAGCTGTTCGGCTTTCACTGGTGGATGTGGCTAGATACTTGCGGGTGTGGGTGGTCGAGTGGCTGTGACATTGCTCAGGGTGGCACCACCAGTGAACTTTATTGAGATTGAAACAACTACATTTGTTAATTCCTAAATCTATTTACACGTGGTTTGAGCTTTGCAGGGGACTGGAGTACAGTTCTGAAATGCCCACCTTTTTTCACTTTCTGATGATGCCAGTTTTATTTTGGGAATGTCTATTTTGGGAGTCTGATGGGGGAACATGGGGGAGCTGGTTACATTTGACAGCATTGATGAAGGGATGAATCTGGTATACAATTACTTTGTCTTCGCATCAAAAACATGCTCTCACTGTAAGCGCTACGACTAGCCAGCCTCCACCACGGGGAGTGTCTTACCGACAACCTCATGCAACTGCGGCCCCGGACGGGTAAGGACAGACTCGATCCTTCTATATGGGAAGGCTCACGAGCCAAGAGCGGCGTGTGAAACTTTGGTTTGAGCCTGGCTCCTTGTCGCCTCTTCCCGTTACAGAGCCGGAAGTGAAAGAACGCAGCTCGTTTTCCCAAGGATTTGAACAGTTCATCTTCCAGCCCACAGAAGATGGGGGATAAACCCTTCACCCTGCAGATGCTCTGCCCTGCAGCAGCCAAACTAAGAGGAGCGTTGTACTCCCTGGGATTGCTCTGTCCACAGATTGATGATGTGGTGTGCTCTGGTGATTTGTTCTTCACTGTTAAGCTGTTGATCAAATTCGCACTCTTTGGTATGCCAGGACTAAATGCTTGAATTGGTGACAGACATTTGGCACTCTGAGGTGTACTAGTTTCTGGTTTTGTCAGGTCTAGATAGCCTTGATCATCAAACAGGTTAACGCTGGACCCTATGCTTAAGCTAGTTCTGTCGGTGAAGGAATCCACTCGTCCATCATACCCTAGGTCTGCAGGTGCTGAGCACTGGTGCTGGGGCCATGGTCGTTTGCAGTCTCCATGGTTTTCCTTGTCTTCCCCGCTGTCATCTTGCCCACCTTGAAAAGAGTTCTCTGTCCAGTCTGACTCCTCGCTAACATTAACTACTGCGTTCATGTCCCTGAGAAATACCACAATGACAGTAATGTTGTCGCTGGAACCAGCATCCCGAGCAGATGCCACTAATTTATGTGCTACCATGCTGCTGTCGCCGTTATTCTCCTTTAGATGGTCAGCCACCACTTTGACTGCCTCATCGGGATTGACTGTGTCATAGAAGCCATCGCAGGCTAAAATGAGGTAGTCTTCAGAGCCATCCAGTACAGTGGAGGCAGAGTCTGCATCCCCACAGATATATGGCTTGTGCTCAGCATCCCCTGTGGAAAAATGACACAAAGATTCACAAGACCGTAGGTTTGCAGCCACAACATCTGGAAGCCCTTTTATTAACACAGCATGGAGCCAATGACTCTTACCCCAAGTTAAGAAAATTATTTGGAAATTTTTCTCTCAAACTGTAGAGGAAAAAATAGACGTCATTGCTCACAGTTCTATCTTCAGCTGTATTTCAAATTTTGATCACTAGAAAATTAAAGTTTTAATTAAAAGGAAAAGCAACTCTGAAAAAGGAATTAAAGCCCATTCTTACCAATAGCTCTGGAGACTGACAGGCTCCCATTCACCCTCCAGGCTCCAAACCAGACCACGCAGCCACCAAGTGCCTCAATGCGCTTCTTCTCATCCTGAACAGCAAGACAACACAAAAGCTGTTTGGACAGAGCGCTTCACACTGCCGTCACACTCTGAACGCCTCAGCAAATATTCGGTGTTTTCACAAGCACAGCATGGTGGAGGCTGCAGGCCCCACCAGAGGAGAACAAAGGATTTGCATACACATCATACCAACTTCCAAACGTACCAGGATAACTGGAACATACGCTGCCGCTCCAAGAGTCGTCGGCAAGGCGATGCTCAGTGTTCCAGTATCCCACATAAAGCTGATACCTGTCAGCTTCAGTGGTAAACACTGCCCAAGTGTATTTAAAACAGGCCATTCTCACCTCTCGATCTGGTTTGTGGGGTTTCATCAGTTCCACAGCTTGGCCTCTCCTCACGAGCATAACCTGGGAGTCCCCAAGCCAAGCCACATGCAGCATGTTTCCTCGGATAAAAGTCACCACCCCAGTGGTTCCACAACGCAGACTCTGCAAAGGGTGAAAAAAAATGCCCCCAGTTTTCAATAAGCCAACAAGAACCATTTCAAAGCATTTTCCTGCTTAACTCAAGGACAGAACATGTTGATATTCCAATGTGTAGCCCGTTCCTGGGGAGGAACGGGCAGTGCTTTCCTTACTGCTACCGCCTGCTCAGTGATAGCCCCTCAGAGCCAACCTGGCTGAACGCAAGGGGCAGATTTTGCCCTCCAACTTCCCTTGCACCGCGATCGCATTTCAGAAGCTGGGTTCTGCTAGCGATCTGCTGTACTACTGTTCGACTTCCCGTGCTTGCTGTCCTATCTGTTGACAGCAACGCATGCATGTTAATGAACTTGGAGGGAGGTTTACTTGTAAGCAGCTTGAGTTCCCTGCACGTAACTCTGCCCTTGCATGAGTTTAGGAGGCCCAGGAGGCAGTTATCCATTTATTCTTTTTTTCTGGAGCTAAGAAAAAGGAGGAGAAAGAATGATGCCAAGGACTAAACCTAATTAGCATGTGAACATAAGAATAGCAGCAGCACGCTTCTAAATGAACTGGTGTTATGAGAAGCGGAGGCCGATGTCTTTATGGAACATGAAGGAGCCCACTTGTGGGCACCGGCTCTATGGACTGTGCATGGACAGCTCTGCGCTGACCCCTGGCCCGTGTCCAGCACAGCACGTGGAGCACCCCTGCTAACAAAGATGGAATTGCTGGATTCATACTTTCAGAGTCAAGCCCCGGTAACTCAATTACCTCCCTGGCTGCCTTCTGGACAAAGCGCTCATCGGTCACCCGGAAGGCTC